CCTTCCTTTTGTCCCTTTCATTAAAAAGAGAAATGTGCAATGTGTTATAATTGTTTGAAATTCAAAAGATGATGAAGGAATAACAATGATCATAAAAGACACATTATTTTGAAGGAGATTTAAAATCATAAGAAATAAAGGCCAATGAGAAGGAAAGCCTGTAAGTCATAAAAATGGTAGACATTAAATATGGGATATGAAGAGAAATATTTTTTATCTAAAATTAATCAACTGCGAGAATGCATGGGATTCAAAAGAAGAAGAAAGAAAACAAACCTTGAGAAATTTTGAGGATTAAAAAAAATAACAATGAAAAAAAAAAGATGGTCTTTTCATTTGCATAATAAGTGCATTTGCATCATGATCATCATTTATTGTATGGCATTGCAAAAACATGAAAATGTCATTCACGAATTCATGTGACACGACAGATGTATACGTCTAGGACAATCTAAGACCAACAAAAGAAAAAGTCAAAAGCAGAAAAGATATAAATCCTTTGTTCAGAGAAATCTTTCAAATACCATTGCCTCTTAGATTTTTGAATTTAAAGTTTGTTGCCTCTGGTCATAGGAGCTTTTTTGACGTTTAAAGTTTATTGCTTCTGGTCAGAGGAGTCTTTTAAATTTAAAGTTCATTGCCTCTGATCAGAGGAGCTTTTTAATTTTAAGAGTCTTTGGTCAGAGGACTCTATCAAAATTAGGCATGATTTGTAAGACCAAATGGCATAATCTATAAGTCCTCTCAGATTTTTAATTTAAAGTTTGTTGTCTTTAGTTAAATGAGCCATTTAAAGTTCATTACCTTTGGTTAGAGGAGCCTTTCAATATTTAAAGTTTGTTGCCTTTGGTTAAAAGAGCCTTTAAACATTTAAAGTTCGTTGCCTCTAGTCAGAGGAGCTTTCAATATTTAAAGTTTGTTGCCTTTGGTTAAATGAGCTTTTGAATTTAAAGTTTGTTGCCTCTAGTCAGAGAAGCCTTTGAAATTTAGAGTTTGTTGCCTTTGGTTAAAGGAGCTTTTTGAAATTTAAAGTTTATTGACTTTGGTTAAATGAGCTTTTTGAATTTAAAGTTTGTAGCCTCTGTTTAGAGGAGCTTTTCAAATTTTCTCTCAAAAAAAAAAACTTTATGTTCAATGTTTCATTTTTTGTATGTGTTTACCTGAATAAAATTGGTGTCTTTTTATCTTTACTTTATTCCTAATTCTCAGAAATAAGCAAAGAGGGGTAGTTGTAGGCACCAATTTTCTTTTTTTTTTTTTTATTATTATTATTATTATTATTATTATTATTATTATTCTTTAAAACAAAAGGAAAAAAGTCAAAAGAAAAAATAAAAAAAAAGTCTTTGATTTCAACTTTGGCAGCCGAAATCAAGCTGCCAGAGTGATATACTTGGCAGCATAAAATCTGATGACTTTTAACACAAAATTTCTACAAAATAAGATCCTAAAAGATTGGGGTCTTAAATCCCAAGAGCTCTATAAATAAAGCTAAGTTCTGCAAAAACAGAGGGAGGGAAAGAACAAAAAAAAGGGGAACACACAATTTAACAAAAAAAAAAATAGCAAACACAAAAATAAAAATTTTCCCGAGAATGAAATTCTTGATTTAGGAAGTTGTAGATTTTTTTTTTTTGAAAAATCTGGGCTTGAAAAAGTGTTTAGAAAGCAAAAAGGATCATTGGGGGAATTTTTGAAAATTTTTTAGGTCGTCAAAAATTAGAAAAGTTTAAATTTTCAACGATGTTTGAATTTTCAGGCACCGAAATTGGAAAAGTTTGAATTTTTCAGTGACCATTGAATTTTTCGGCCACTGAAATCTAGGATCTTTGAATTTTTTGGTGCCGTTGAAATTTTCAACCACTGGTACATGACGGCGACCAACCAAAAATTAGGTATCCATGGCGGCTGGCGAGGGGTTCTGAAATTTTAGAGAGAAGGGCTATGGGTTATAGAGAGAAAAGGGTAAGAAAAAAAATGAAACAGGCCTTTTATAAGCCATCCAAAATGATACCGTTTTGGGCGTCCGGATCAAACCTGACCCGCGTAGGATCCGCGTGCCGACCCGATTCGTTTCGCAAGTTTTTTATTTTTATTTTTATTTTTTGTTTTGATTTTGATTTTTTTATGTTGATTTTTATATTATTTTTTATGTTATTTTTTATGATATTGTTATTATTATTATTATTGTTATTTTATATTATTATTATTAATTTTTTTAGAAATAAATAAATAAATAAAATAAAAATAAAACTAAAATAAAATAAAGACCTAAAGAAATATAAATAAAAAATTTTATAATAACAGTTACTTAAATGAAATAAAATTTTATTACAAGTAAAAATATTATTAAAATTTCACCAAAGTGTTGAGATATTTTTAAAAAAAATATTTTTGCTAAGTAAATAATAATAAAATAAAAATAAATTGTTTAGATGAATCTTCTAAATGTAATTTAAAAAAAAAAAAACTAAAAGACTTTAGTTTTATTTAATTATTGCAAATAAAAATAGTTTTTTTGGATTTCACCATGGTTGGGATAATCTAAAATTTTCACTAAAATAAAGATTGATTTAAACAAAGTAAGACAATAATAAAAAATGAAATTAATAATATTTGATATTTTGAAGTTTTATAAAAAAAATAAAAAATTAAAAAAGTTTGATTTTCTTTAATACAAGCAAAATATAAATATTTAGATTTCTTCGGTGAGTCAGGATAATCTAAATTTTTTATAATAAAATAATTATTAAATAATAAAAAGTTTTTTTAAATAAGCATAATAAAAATTAATTGATAAATTATTTTATTTATAAAAAAAATGATTTTATTTAGGATCTTGTCAAAAAGTTGAGATGATCTTAAAACTTGCTCAAAATTTTTAGGATTCCACCGAAAAGTCAAGATAATCGTAAAATTTATTTAATAAATTTTGGGAACTCACCAAAGTGTCGGGATGTTCCTAATTTTTTTAAAATAAATAAATAAAATATCTTATGATGAGATTTCGAGAATTTTGTGAATAGTCAATTTTCTCGAAATATTTTTTAAATAGTGATTCTCTATAAATTTCGTCAAAACGTTGAAGAATTTATAGAATATAAAAATAATAATAATACTAATTTTACAAAAAAAATATATTTTTAAATAAATTTCAAGAAATTAAATTTAAATAAAAAAGATCATATTATCAAAATTAAATGATTACATATGTTTAATTGGTATCGTTCTTCGAACAAGCGACGTGAGGATGCTAATATATTCTTCTCTCGTAACCGTACTCTCAGACTTAACCCTGATTTCGCAGACTTAAACTTTTTTTAATAATTCTTAATTAGTTTTAAGATTTTTACTAAAAGATGATATTTTTGGTAACCAATCACACTCTAAAAAAGATTGATGATGACTCTAAAAAATTTTCATCAAATCTAACTATTGAGTCTCCCGAATGAAAGATCGTTATGACAATTGATAAATAGTTATTGTACATAATTGGGTGATTACTAATATTCAATCACTATTTCTCCACTTTTTTCATTATTTATTAATTGTTTTATTTTTATGCTTCACATTCTTTAGTTAATTAGTTATTCTGTAAATCTATTAAAATGTTGATTGAATTTAATAAAAATATTACAATTTATGTATAATTCTACAAAATTAATTCTTTCTTTTATTTCGATAATTTAATTTCAAAAAACCTATCTCCTTCCCAACAATAATAGTGAAACCAAAAAAATATGGGGAATATGTAACTCCAAAGCAACCAGATCCAAATTCCGATTAGGCTAGAGCTCAGCAGCCGCGCGCTTTATGATTAATTTCTATTTCCATTATAGTTAACACAAAGGTAATTTGTTCTTTTTTTTATTATTTTTTTCAGTGGATGATGAATACAGAATAATTGGATCTGCCAACATTAACCAGAGGTCAATGGATGGTAGTAGAGACTCTGCAATTGCAACGGGGGCATTTCAACGACTATCAACTTATAGTCGACTGTCGAGCATGGCACTGTGGCAGGAGCACCTTGGAAATGTTGAGAGCAGTTTCCAGAATCCAGAATGTCTACAGGCAGTCAATTCTCTGACGTGTTATGGAATATGTAATCTATCGATGCTCTTTGGGGCAAGATCTGCAGGGCCACCTGTTGCACTATCCAATTAAAATCAGCAACACTAGAGGTGTTACATCCATGCCAAACATGGAGTTTTTTTACTGACACAAAAGCTCGTGTCAATGGCACCAGATCTGACTACCTTCAGTTCTAACCACCTCGCCGGTGCCATATCTGAACTTATCATAAATAATGATGATCAACAAATGGTGTACATATTGTTTGTGAGAAGCTATCCCTTTAAAAAACTTTCCAAATAAAACTCACCATTTGTTGCTTGTCTTACGTCAAGTCTAGAATTTATTATTTCATCTCTTGCTTGATTGATTTTGTCAGGAAACATGGAAGCTCCCACTCTTTCTAAAACATTATTTGAATTTTATGGAAGAGTAAAATAGCCTGGAAAAGTAAAGTAGATAACACGAGCTTGAACTCTGAACCTTTCCCAATTCATGGAGAGAGAGAGAGAGAGAGAGTCAGATTAAACTGTTCGGGAGATTAATCGATTAATGCTTTGCACCCCAACTAATAAAAGCTCTAGCCCAAGAAGATTAGTGTCTATAGAAATAGAAATTCGAATTTTTTAATTAAACTCTATTAAAGGAAAAAAAATGGATAAGCGGTTAGCGTCAGGCTAGCTTTTGTCTGCCTTGCCGACCCAAATACACGACTTTAAGCCACGAAACAGTATCTGCTCCGATCCATCCAAAATGATGACCTCGCATTCCTCTAGTCTACCCAACTTTCATTTTTTCCTTGTTCTTTCCAAAAACAACCTTTTTTTTCCCTTTTTCCCCAACAATTTACAAATACACTGTTCAGTAAAAACATGAAACAGATTAATTTAGGGAAAAAAAAAAGAAGAAAAACAGAAAACTGATAGAGAGACCCTTTGGTCGAATCAGTGACCAAAGAAGTCAAAACAACCTTTTTCGAGGAACAAGATTAACATTTTATCACAAAATATCCATAGCCATTTCTAAACATGCCGTTTTCAAGGTATTTATTTCATTTCTTTCATTCCAGAAAAACCCCTTTTTTCCCTGTGTTTTTAAAAATTTTCTATGAAGAATTTCAGGGGAAACAGTTGGAAAAAGAAGTATTGACTTTTTTATTATTCTCGCAGGAATTTTAGTCTTCTCCTTCCTCCAATTAGGGTTTTGCTTTGGGAATTTTAGATGCAATCTTCTGGTTACCTTCCTCCTTGGATCTCTTCCCTTTTTGCCTGCATGGGGTCAGTTCTTCTTCAGCTTTTTTTTTTCTTTTACTTTTTATTTGAGTGGATATAATCACATTAATCCTCTGATTCTTAGCTTTCTTGGTTATAAGACAGGAGTTTTAATGCTTTGTTTGTTTAGTTTTAAGTTTGCCTTTTCTAAGTATGGAATCTTGGGGGTTGTGTTTTGTGCTTGCCTGCTGTGTGAGCGAGCTATAAGATGAGATGTCCGGGGGGAAGGGCCAAGGACTAGGGGGACTTTTCGATTTGGGGCATTCTTTGCTTGAAGTTTTAGGTAGCTGATTGTATGACACAAGGGTTTTTGTTTTGCTTTTGGGATTTGGGTTCTACAGGAGGCATGGATCCTAGTTGTTCTTTAGTAGCTCAAACTGAGAGATGCTTTGGAAAGAAACCTTGTTGTTCGTTTGTTTCGTTTTCTGGAGCTTATTTACATGCTCTTACACTATGGCTGGTGGAAACATTCAATGCTAAGTGCAAAGTTCTTTTCAGCTTGAGGGACAAATTTTCTTTTTATGTTTTCTGTTTTGGTTTGTTTTGGAAATAGATTAATTCACCGTTGATGTGCTGCCTGGTTACAATTTTGAGGAAGTTTACTTTACCTACTTTGATTGAGCTATAATGGAATTTGGATATGGGTGTGCAAAATTTTCTGGTTATATATGTAGCTGATGTCTTGTAGACTCAGCAATTTATAAGGGTTTGAGGGCTTGTAAATTTTCTGCATTGAAGCTGTAGGAAAATGGGCTTGAGTGGCACTGCTGGTTGCTTTTAGTTCCCGCTCAAATTTGGTCCCCTACATGTTGGAGATTAAGCCGGTGGAATTTGCATTATGCACTTGCTTTGCATTTCTGTGTTGTTCTCGTTGATAAAATGATTGCTAAGTTGCTATGTTTCAAGTGCAACTCCGCATTGATTATGTTCAACATCACACAACTGAAGCTACCTTTTTACAATGATTTTGAACTCTAGTATCATATGGTTATTTCCATATTATGGTTGCAAAGTTGATGGCTTTATTTTCCAGCTACTCAATTAAGGGTTGACTTGTTATAGTTGATACCGATTATACGTGTGGTTAATCCTGGTTTGTAACAGAGCAGAGGTTGTTTCGGATGCTTCACGAAACCCTCACTGATTATTGCGGTGGATGAGCCATCTAAGGGTCTAATGATTCAAGGCCACAAAGTGAAGAGATCTAACTTTTCTGAGGATTTCTGGAGCAGCAGTGCATGTGAAATGGAACATAGTGCAGTCCCATCTCAAAGAAGCATTTCATTGATCAGCATATCAAATCAATCCCTTGATCCTTCTGGCAGCACTAGCAATCCTTCTGAATTTGTAAATCATGGCAAGTTCAGATATATTAGCATCTATATGCTACTAAATAGAGCTGAATATCATCCCATTGTTTCATATATTTACGTGTGCTGTTGGAAGTTTTTAGTACCATTTTACTGAATTTCTCGAAAATGATCATCCTATCTTTTGGTAAGCATATTGGTGAAACAAAATTTTTCTTGCAGGCCTCCTTCTTTGGAACCAAACAAGGCAACAATGGCTTGGAAATAAAGGGTCTGAGAAGCCGGTGCAACTTCAAGAACCAACAATAAGGTTAGCAATTTTCATTGTTTTTTTAATTTAAAGTACATAACATTACTTTGGGACAAATAGAATGCAAAATCCCTAGAAGGCCGTGATTGACAAACTGTTTACATTATCCTGTTTTACATTTAATCCCGTTTACACGTTTTTGGTACAAAAAAGGAAGTCCAAGAGGGAAGAGGGAATTTGAAGATTAGACCTTAACGCTCTTAAGGAGAGGATAACAACCATTATGCCAAGTTTAAGTTATTTCAACACTGTTTACATGTGAAAACAAGCCTTTCTCATCTTCTTTTTTTTTTTTTAAAGAAGAAATCTTATCTATGTTATGGTTCACCATTGTGTATTGCAGTTGGAATGCACTATATGAGAGTTTATGTGGGAATAACAAGCCATTCCCCCAGCCGATTACTCTTCCTGTAAGTTTGCTCTGCCAGCTAGATGGTTTCTCATGTTATTATAAACTATATTTTCACATTCTTTAGTTCCTCAATTCTTGTTGGATTCACTGTGACAGGAAATGGTGGATTTTCTAGTCGATGTTTGGGAGGACGAGGGCTTATACGACTGAGCAGGATGATACAAAAAAGCTAGAAGAACAGATAAAGATAAGAAATATTTTTCCAGGAATTTTTTGAGATTGTCGATTGTACTATTCCCTTCTCTGTTGGATTCTTCCACTGTACAATATTCTATTGTAGTTTACAAGTCCTTTTGGATTGGGAAGAAAAATGCAATATTCTAGTATTCTCTATCAGCTTCTTGGTCCTTTTGTTGGTAGTTGGCAATAGACAGTCGTATGTGATGGAGAAGATGCTTGCTTTTGTTCGTCACTAATCCTAGGAAAACTTCCCTTGGAGATGCCATCCTGAGTTGTACATTTTCAGTGGAGACGTAATATGTCTTCCTGACTCTGTACCAGTACTAGGCTATTCAAAGTTCAAACATACGTGTAGTCTAGATGCCATCAATAACCAAGGGCCTAGGTCCAGCCTACTGTTGCCCAACTTCAGAACAGATGTTTTTTTTTTCTTTTTTTTCTTTTTTTTGCCCTTTTGCCAATGCTAGGTTTTAAACGTTAATAAAGGGCCATAAAAATTTGGTCCACAAGGAGTTCTGGCACTGAAAGAGCATGTGTTATAAACCAGGCCCCAGGCAGTTTCCGTTTTAGGATGTCTTGATTTTGTGCCACTTTTTGGAAGCCATGTAAATTTCTTGATAACCAGACATTCTGACAATAATAATAATGATATTAAGCTCCGGAAGAGACATTAATTCAACTAAAGCAACTTGACTAAATGTCTTTCACATTTAATTAAATGATGGTCATACTAACCTAAAGAAAAATGGAATTTTGTAATGTTTACCATCATATGAAATTGTTTTATTATTGTTATTATCCTAAAAAGAGTAGTACTAGCAGTAATAATTGAAAGTTGAGGAGATGGTTTTAAAACCGTGTTTCAATTTCGAATGACGGAATGATCAGTCACCGTTTGGAAGCATTTATCGAACTTGACAAGAGAGATGGCTTCATCCTCTAACATAGAAAGTGGGAGTACGGGCCACAACTACACCAAACTTTATTCATGAATAGATTCCTTTGCTCCTTTGAAACAAAACAAATGGTGATGTTTTTTTTTTCTTAACGAGATCATTGAGGCAGCAGCAGCTTCATCAACTTGTCATCACCACCGGTAAAAACTAAATAGGTTTTTAATGGTTTTTTTTTTTTTTTTTGGTTGATAAGATTGGATTCTCACTATGGACACAATTTTGCTGCATATATTTGTAGGTAAATATTTAACATGTTAAGTTTCAAATTCATTTAATCTCAACAGTATAATATGCAGCTAGAAGAAATATAGATGATGTTGGTGGCTTAGTCATTGGATGGATTCTTGTTGTATTTAGATGAAAGAGTAGTGGTTTGGCAAAAGATAGCAAGCAATCCCTCAGCTTACTCATTAATGGACAATAAAGAAATACAGAGAGAACGCAAGTGGGTATAATGGAATAGTCAATTTGGAGTAGATATGCATGTACTTACAAATTTGATGATTTGGGCACATTTGAAATTATGCTAAAAAAAGAAAAATAAAGAAAAATAAAGAGAGAGAGAGAGAGATAAGACACTGAGGAAGGGTTTTTTTTTTTTTTTTAATAATAGCCCTCGTGGAGGAAGCTTAATTTTAAGTCCAAGTGGATGGCTTTCAGGAGAAGAAAAAAATAACCCAGGAATGAATGCATTGTGGCTGTTAATTCTATGTATATAATAATGTAACTGCCATGCTTTCTAGGGGGAAATTATTAAAAAAAAAAAAATGAAGGGAAACCCCATCTTGGCAAAAAAGAGTAGAATAATGTTTACAGGATTCCCATTTCAGAGGTAAAAACCTTGAATAAAAAATCAATGAACCCGCATCGAAGAAGAACCCCTACATTCTTTATCTATGACTATATATATGAACTAGCACCTCGTCTTTTTTCCTTTCTCTTTTTATGAAAATTGCTAGATGATGTATACATGGAAATGAGTGACGAGAATAAGCACTTTTCCCTAGCAAAATTTACAACAAAATGGAGGGTCACCCTTCAGCAGCATATGCTTTGAAGAAAATAATTGACAAGGACTTGCTGCATTATCAATACAAAAATTAATAATAGATAGCCTCAAGAGGGCAGGGCTGGCTGCTGTATGTGAATGTGATTGCAATTGCGTTCAATGAGAACATTTTTATGATTGTTGTTAATCACTGGCCCATACTTGCTTTATCTGACTGTGGCAATGAAGCTTTTCATTTTCTCAAATTCCCTCCAACATGAGTAGTTTCTAGATCTGTATGTGGTGCAATCTCTATGTATGAATATGATGGGTACAGGCTCCAAAACAAAGTGAGCTTTATGTTAATTAATTAAGTCATCAAATGATTTAAACTGCTAAATTAATTAACTGAGATTTTCAAGACAAAAAATTCCTATATATTACTCAAGTGAGATTGCGATTTGGGTTGAAGTGGGGGAAAACTAGGTTTCAAAGGGTTCTAGCCATGATATTGAGTCCCAAGGCCAGATTGGCATAATTCTTTTTCAATTGCCCACATATTTATCAGAAAAATCGAAAGCTGATGTGTTAAAAGGAAATTTTTTTTTTTCAGAGCAATGGGTTGTGCCCTTTGCTTGTCTTCTCATTACATTAAAAGATTCAACATCACTCTTCTTCCATTCTTTGGTAATGCTTTCACATCCTTCTCGTGGACCTTACTTTTGCTTTTTAATTTTCTCAAATATTGAATAAATATATGTATGTAGGGTGGGGTCCTTCCTCCTTACCAAATCTTTTGCGTATTTTACTTGGTCCACTCATGTTTGACAACACATTAACAAAAACGTTTTTCTTTTTTCTTTTCTTAGTTAATAACATCCACACTCTCCCATATGTAGAGGGGACATATTTATTTTCCATTATATCTATTAAAGGTATAAAACTATTACACTCTGAAGTTCCTTTTTCTCCCAAACCCTATCTTCTTTTTAACCGATTTAAAATTTAACTTCATCACATCATAGATAAATAATTTGACAAAATTATTATAAGAAAAATATAATCATAATATAAGTAATATTTTTATATAAAAATTATTAAATTAATTCAAACAAAAAAAACCAATAAGCTAATATATAACTTAACAAATTTGATATAAAATTGTACTAAATTTACCTATTTAACTAAATATTTATTAATGATCAAGACAACTAATGTAATGGTTAATTTCTAAATATTTCACCCATAAAAAAAAGATAAGGTCTCTAATCAACGTATATATAAAATATATACGTCATTAAAAGTTATTCATGTGTTAGCACTACCCGTCAAAGAAAATCATCAAATCAGTTGACAAAATTGAAAAAAAAAAAAAAAAAACCAAAACAAAAACAAAAGTTTCAAAAATAAGCTTTTCTTTTCTTTGTGCTTTTGATGAAGAATTTGCTTGAATTTTTTACATGAACTTGATCCAGCTTTGAAGGGTAATTTTTTTTTTAAATCAAGGTGTCGAGCAGCCATCACCAAATAAACAAGTTTTAATACCAGATCTTTTCCAAACTATTCACAGGAAAAAAATTTTTGCTACTTAGTGTTCTCTTAGCAACATGCCAAGAAACAAATGGTAAAATCTTTTCCAATAAAGTACTATTTACTCTCTATAGGAACTTGTACTCTGCCCTGATTGATTGAAATATGGGAAGCTTCAACCTAATAGCTTCAAATTCAGCATTCTGCCTTTCTTCGGTTGTCAACCACAAAGATAAACAACGACAAATCAAGTCCTTGCCACAACTCAAGGAAGAACTTTCCTTGAAACTGCCCACCCTCCCAAATCTTGCAACCCTGGCTAGATACGAACCAGAGGGTCCTCTGCATTAACTCTATAGAATGTCCTTAATGGAACCACACCAGATAGGTCGAGCTACTTTAAGAAAGTCATGCAAAACCAACACTGGAAGGTTCATACTTCCTAGTTCAGACTCACAATGCCTACCTCTCCCACGATACACTGATCCTCCAAGCTTTAGAAGGTCACAAGTATCCGCTAAGTCACTGTATGCTTGCTAATCGTCCATCACTTCTTAAACATCCATTCCATGAAAACCTGCATCTTCTAACCTTCTTATGATAGGAATAGGATTTTTTAATGCCAACGGATGAGCAAGAACTGCTAAACCTTCCATTTCACATATAAGCTACATTACTTCTGCAAGAGGCTCGCTTCTGGTGGAATAAGAAGGTCGTAAGCATCTGCCAAATCAACCATGCTTCTTCAATAAGGGCAGTATTGAAATTTTAACTTTAAGTCACCAAAGTTCTTCTAAATATCTTCTTTTTCATTTCTTTAATGCATGTAAAACATGTACGTGGAACACTAGTGCTCTCTCGTGGACATGAAAAAACCATACACAACATGAAAATGGCAAGCCGCCTGGGGAACAAGGAAACGTGATTCTCAAATTTCATCTTCCTTTCTCTGTTAAAAACAATTTTCTAGCAGTTTTTTTCTCTAAGAAAATAAAAGAAAAAATTAGTTGAATTTACAGATGCAAAAATGTTGTATTTGGGGTTGGTAACTTATGCAAACTTTATAATCTCTTTAAATTGTTGTGCGTGCACAATAACAAATAAGCAACTTTATTGAAGAAAACGAATTTGAAAGAAGAACTTTGGGTAAGGCACTTCCAGAAAGTTTTCTTAAGGACAATATACTAGAAACATTGTCCTTATGATATAATACCTAATGAAAAAGAATTGATTGCATTTCAACTATTTTTTGGTCTCTCTTGAACAATAAATCAGAAAAAAAATGTAAGGAAAAAAAATTTAGTTTAATCTTGAAAAGATATAAAAGTCTATTAAAAATAAGTGTTTTAAGAAGCACATATAAAACCTAAAACACATCTTTAATATTCTTCCACGAATTGGTATCTTTTGAATAAAGTAATACTACTTTTAGAATGAAAGGACATGTCCATCGGACTTTTTTCCAATTTTCCAAGACGAACAGTCAACTACTTTTTGTAAGGGTAGTCGATTGCCTTAGGCTTTTTTCTTCATCCAGAATGTGGGTATTTGGATGCCCGACATTAAGCTTTCGAATGCTTGCTTTCTGACTTCAGTTTTTGTTATACTAAGACAAGGCAGTCGATTGCTCGTCAAAGGAAGTCGATTGCTTTCTCAAACAAAATGCAAATATGTGAATGCCTTCTTCTAAGAAGTCGACTTCTCTTTTTTTTGGGTAAGGCAATTGACTTCTCTTCAAAGGCATGCAGTCAACTGCTCATACTTATTTTTTGTTAGAATGTCGACTGCTCAAGGGTAGTTACTAGAGCAATCAGCTGCTCTCACTTAGCAGTTGGTAAGGCAATCAGTTGCTCAGTCAGCTACTCCTTATTTCATTTCAATATTTCTATCTATACTTCTAAATATTATTTTTCTTTTAATACACATCCATATTAAATGATTACAAAACTATGTTTTTACTTTAATAAGCTTTTTAAAAAACATATCTTTAGTAATATATTTTAAGAATGATGCATTGGGAATTCCATATATCTTATATATGAATTTTTTGAATAATTCATGATTGAAAGCTCTTAACTGTTAAACATAATGTTTTTTTCATGAGAAGATTAATCTTTTGAAAGAATCAATCTCTTAAGTGGGAATATTGAGATAGAAAAAGAAACAATTAAGATTGCTTTTTAGTAACCGATAACAATCTCATACGTCTCATAGTTTTTTTACCACCCATCAAGAGTTTAGTTTGTATGGATGCAGCGTAAGCATCTCATTTTGTCCGAGGTCTTTTGAACATTATTAGACCTCAAACTTTAATTTGGAATTTGTAATTAGATTAAATTTTGTATTTAGATCTTAAGTCCAAATTAAAAGGGTCCATAAATATTTATTCCTTTTATTTTTTTTACTTCTTTTATATATTTTAATTTTTGGTGTTTGGTCAAAATTAAAAAAAAAAAGAAAATTCAAAATTACAAAATATGGGATTTCTTTAGATTGTGATTTTGTTTTAAGGATTT